ACGCTCTTTTAGAACAACTCTGGAGGTGCGATATACTATACTGATACCGAATCCATGATTTCTGCGATCATACAAATCTTCTGAGGAACCCTAGTTTCCATTTCTTTTCTGGGTTTTGGTTGCTGAACTCCTAGATTTCACCTGGAACTCGGGTTTCTTTTCCAGGAGGCAACAACAGCTGTTTTTTTAATCCTTTTTTGCGGGTTCCCATCTGAACTTGGGAATCTGTTTCAATGGCTGTTTTGTCACACCTGAGAATCCATCCCGGGACTGAGTTCTGGTGGCTAGGGTTTTAGCGTCACTGTCTTTTCGAGTTCTTGTCTCTCTCTCTGTGTTAGGTGTTCTGTGAGGTTGCGACTGATGGTGCCTTTGTCTGTCCTGTGGAGCTCTCGGCCATGGCGGTGTAACTTCTTTAGTCGCCATGGACAGCTCTTCCTAGAATCTCTTGGGGAGAGCTGTTTTTTTTTTTGGGTCATCATGACGCCGAAAGCTCCTGTTTTTGTCCCTTTTCCAAGGCATTGTCCGGTCTGTTCCATATGAACACTGTACTCTTAAAAAGTTCCATGAACATTACATGTAACAGAATCTCTGTATCAGTTGAAGCATTTTCTGTGTTCTCAGGATCGTCCCATAGGGCAATAATATATACATACATAAAATGAATGTAATATGCAGTTTCATCCACCATCACCATCACCATCGTTCTTTAGAAAGCTGTAAAGGCAGAAAACGAGATCTCCGATATCTTCTCGAGGTTTGGTGTGTTTTTTCTTTTTCTTAAAATACCATTTTCTCTTTTTGGGTAAGTTGGTTTCTTTCTCTGTCCGAGGAAATAAATATGCGACGACCCTTTCTCTCTTGTCTTTGTTTATTTGTTTTTTTGTTAATTACGATGGAGACGCGCGTGATTTGGATTAGGATTCCTGATTACGATTGTTATCTTAGGTCTGAATTTATTTTATAGACGAACATTGAGCAGATAAAGCTTAATCATTGAAAGATGTAGCATTTATAAAAATCCCCAACGAAATTATTATTATTGTTGTTTTCGAAATGTTTATTTTTGTGATTTTAATATTCCAATTAAACTGATAGAAGTCTCCTTGAGAATAGTTGTAAGCGAGGTCATTGTTCGTTTATAATAAAACGACGCAGTATTAGGGATTGCGTTCTTTCTGCCACTTAAATGATGATGAAGTATATAATGAAGCCGAAAGAAAAAAGGAAAGTATAATGACTAATAACGTATAATTCTATTAAATACTAATTTTAAATTAAATTGAGAAAATCAAAACATAAAAATTTACTTTAGGAAATAATTAATACAACATATAAAATCCATGTATATACATATATATATATGTAAAGTGTGTGTGTATTCTTCGAAATGAGAATACAAAAATAAAAAGCGAAACCAAATCAAAATCCATTATATCTATCTCAATAGGGTGTTCAATTATTTTGTTTTTTTGTTGAATATATAGTTTTTTTCTTTTTAAGTTGAATATGTATATATATATATATATAATATTATTTGCTTTATAATGATGATTTCATTTACCAACCAAATGTTCAAATCTGTGTAATCCGTCGAAGTAAATTAATCTTATTGCATGTGTAGATAAACCAATCATTGTGAACACAACAACATACTTCCTTTATGACAATAATCTCATCATAATAATATTAAATTACAATAAGAATAACAAGGAGATTAAGCAAATTATTAACCAATACATTTTTATCATATACATTACATATATATATATATATAATCATGCATTTTACAGACACGATGCCAGGAAATTACAGACAGGGTCAATTGCTACAAGAGACACAAACATGAAATTCGAACTTAGTTTAAGGAGGGGGTACTTCTTTTAATGGAAACTGTCTGCACACAAAATCAGCAGAATCTCTCTCCTTTATAGGTTTCGGCGAGAGAGAGAGAGAGAGAGAGAGAGAGAGAGAGAGAGAGAGATCTACATTAACATAGATGGGGTTGTAGGTGAGATGCTAAGATTCATTTGTCAGAGAGAGAGAGAGAGAGAGGATGAAGTTGGAGGTAAAATCCAAAGATTCTCTCTCGAACCCATAAGATTTTATTTTCTACTTATGTTGGATTTCGGACCTTCCCCTCTTTTAATGCTTCTTTGTGTGTAGAGTGTCTCAATCCTATGTGGCATTGTCCGAAGGCGCGTGGGAAGTCACGCGTTTTGTTTGTTTTCTTATGAATAAATATGCCCACCCACCTCCTTCTTCTACAGCTGTTGGCGAATAGAGGAACAAGAGAGAGAGAGATCATTCTTGGTTTCAATTCTTCTGTTCATCGGTTCCTTCGCTTTCTTTTTCACCTTTGACCTTACTTACACCCGTCGAGAGAGAGAGTGTCCATTATCAGCTTCTTGCAGATCTCTCACAAACACAATCTACAGTGAGAGAGAGAGAGACTCATTTGTACGTATCCAAGAGAGAGACCCGTATCAGATTCTTGCAGATTCTGTTGGAATTTCAAAACTAGAGAGGAGAAGAAGAGGAGAGAGAGAGAGAGTCATTACTAGACAGGCCACAGACACATAAAGAGAGAGACCCTTATTAGATTTCATACAGATTCTCAGAAATTCAAACCGAGAGAGAGAGAGAGAGAGAGAGAATGTTCGCGGCAGAGAACGGGTTGAAAGGAGATCCGAGGCTGGAGGCCATATCGGCGGCCATTAGAGTGGTGCCTAACTTCCCAAAGAAAGGTTCTTTTAACACTCTTCACTCTTCTCCAACTACTAACGACTTTCTCTCCTCTGTGTTTGCATTCTCTGAAAGTTCCTGTACAGGAATCATGTTTCAGGACATCACTACGTTGCTGTTGGACTACAAAGCGTTTAAGCACACAATTGATATCTTTGTCGACCGGTACAAAGACATGCATGTCTCTGTTGTTGCTGGTACTTCAATTTTCTCTTGTTCCCCCTTTCCTTCCTCATAAAACGTTTCTGCATTCTTGCTCGTTTCACACCAGAAAATGCCAAAGTTTTCGAAAACAATTTCATAAAAGACTCCGTTTTTCAAGTTTTCTTTCATCAATTCCATCTGGGTAGTTATCTGCCTGCCATTGGGTTTTCGTTAGAGCCAACAAAAGTCTCAAAAGTTCACTCTTTGTGTCCCCTCAAAGGCATTCCGAAACTCAATGTGTTGGATGTGTCAGTAATGTAAGTATATGTCTGGTGCGCATAGGAGTTGAAGCAAGAGGGTTCATGTTCGGTCCATCCATTGCCTTAGCTCTGGGCGCAAAGTTTGTTCCTTTGCGTAAACCCGGAAAGTTACCCGGTAAAAAAAACCCCACTCCCTCCAAGACCTTTGCTGCTATGAATCTTCCACAGATTGAGCACCCGAAAATGATTGAACACATGCAGGGAATGTGATATCGAAATCGTACGACCTCGAGTACGGACACGACTGCTTAGAGATGCACGTTGATGCGGTCAAGGCCGGAGAACGAGTGATCGTTATCGATGACTTGGTCGCCACCGGAGGCACTCTGTCTGCTGCCATTAGCCTTCTGGGTAGTAAATATTCGCTTGTTCTGATGAATCCTTATATATATATATATATATATATATATTCTCAATTCGATCTGTGACGCATTATCTTGCGTTTTACCAGAGAGCGTGGAAGCTGAAGTTGTGGAGTGTGCTTGCGTTATTGGCTTGCCTGAAGTCAAGGTGAGTCGAAATTTGCTCCAACCGAATCTCTGGTTTTTGGTTACTTGTCGAACAAGTTATCTTTGTTTAGCTGTCGGGTAATTGGGTTCGAGACAGGCGTATAGTAAAATTATTTTTTACCTCTAGGTTTTAAATGAGTTACACATAAACCTAGGGTTTTGAATGGAAATCTGTCCAAATTCGGATTCAAAATCTTTGATATTCAATCCGAGTCGATTCCTAGCATACGATACATATTTTTTGGATAAAAAAAAAAATCGAAGTTTCGTATTTAGACATCGGAGGATCCGATTTTTAAGAACATATATATTTTTAAAATGGATAAACCCGACAATGATGTGTTTATAATGTTTAAAATGTTTTCAGGGGCAGCACATGCTGAAAGGGAAGCCTCTCTACGTTCTCGTGGAACCAAGTGGACTCGATGACCACTTGTGTTAGGATCGTGTTTTGTTTCAGTTTTGGTGGTTGTAAGCCCTCATTTCTTGTATCCTGGCTTTGCATCTTTCGACAGAGTTTTAGGACAATGTGTACGGACATTTGCAGTGATTGGTCGGAAAAAAAAGACCGTGTTGGTTTTTTTTTTTTATAAAAATAACTATATACGAAATATTTTAAAACACTATAGATCCATAAAAACATTAAGGGTATTGGTAAATTAAACAAAAAAAAGCGAATTGTCGGTGTGAATGAGGTTTGGTATTTCTAAACAAATGAAAATTTAAGAATTTTTCGTGTAGTCGGATGCCATTGATAGAAAATTGATATTTCTAGATATCCCTTGACTAATAGGAAATAAAATTTTAACATCTTAATAATTAGTTCCAAATTTTCACGTTTGTTCCATATTAATAGCCAAAAGTTACGAAACCCAAAATCTAAGTTATTGAACATTAATTGAGAATATTTTTTTTAAAATTTTATAACGCACGGAGTTGAAAAACCGGTTAACGCATCGGTTTTCGTTTGGTTAATTTCCCAAGTGTCTGGTATTGAAAGTGATGTTTTTGGTACCATTTTAATGTGTATTCTCAAATACATCTCCCCACGGTCCCACCAAATGTTTTATTAATTTTTTGTCTTCCAATTAACTCAACCACCTGGGATATGTCTAAAATTCTATATGCAAAAAAAAAAAAAAAAAAAAGAGCTAAAAAGCTCTATAAATCTCTGTAATACGTAAAATAATTTTTTTATGGGAGAAAATGTTTTGAATTAAATAATGGGCTTTATTTTGGACCAATATATGGGCCTAAAAGTTTCTTTATTGGGCCTTAAACTTCCATGTGGGCCTTACATCTTTTTTAATCCTCTCCGCCGAAACCGATTCTTCTTGTAACAAATGCTTCAGCGAGAACTCAAATTCAAAATCGTGGAGATGCTCTGATTACGATTTGCCGATTGGGTTTGATTTGTCTCCATCGAAGAGAATGATTTCTCCAATCATGGAGATGCTCTGGTCAGTGGAATTGTCCTATTTCTTTGCTTTCGTTCCAATCGTTCATGGAATTTTCTGGAAATCCAGCGGTGAATTTGAGCAGAGAGAGAGAGAGATGGCGGTAGTGTACGCGCTGCTGGCGCCAGGGGCGGTGGTAGTGGAGTTCCTCGCGGCGTCGACTAACGTAGGTATGGGAGTATATTTAACGTGTCCTGTATTTTTCTGGTAAATGTGAGAAGAGAAGTTGGTGTGAATTTGTTCTTCCGATTGCTGTGGAACCTGGTTCAAAAAATCTAGTACCACTTTTCTTTATTGTTGCTAGCTGATTCGGGACACAAGTCTTAAGTGGTTAATTGTGGTACAAGAACAAGAGTCAGAAAAGCATTTTCTGACAGTAGATATTGTTGTTTCCATTGTCCTTTTTTTGAAAAACAATTTGAAGTAGGGTAATTTCATTTGCGTTTCTGGAAGATATCCATAAGAGCTTTGTGTGCAATTCATTCAGCCCAAAGTTATTCTGTGAAACATGATATTTCAAGATTTCTACTACTCGAATTACCCAAATTCAGATAGAATAAACAGAACAAAGGACGGAATTAGTCCGGTAAAGTTCTGAACTATTTTTTTCCCTGACCTACCGTTCGACACGGTTAACCCTGAGGACTTCCTTTATGGCAGTTAATCCACATTTGAAACCGTTGATTGTTTTATCTATTATATTTCTGACATTCTTGGATGTGAATAACCCAAAATCAGCTGTTATTTGCAGGTTACAAATGTGGTGATAGAGAATATTGATAAGGTTTTAGATGGAAGCAAGCTTTTAGAATTGCTTGTTGGTAAAATCGCCAATATGCGAGGGAACCGCTCCTGTTCCAGGAAATCGAGAATTCCAACTTAGGAGGACATACAAAATATAACCACTTATCCAATACGAGTTGAGACTTTGGCTTCTCTTCTCTATATCTTGACAATAATTCTAGTCAGTGTTTTCGTTGCTCAAATTGGGGAACATATTTCTCTATTAAATATTTGCTTCAAGATTTGATAATTTTTTGTTTATTATTAAACTTATTTTCCTGATTTCACAATCTTAAACTTTTCATCAACTTGTTTTATTTATGCAGGATCGAACTGCTATGCTCTTTGGTTATTGTATATGTCGTTGAAGCCTTTGTTTGCCATAGCCTAGCACTTGCTTCATGTTTCAAGTAAGGTTATGCGCGCTTCTGCCTCCTGCTGCTTCAAGGATTACTCAAACTGTTTGAATTTTCTGATCTGAGCTCTCTGTGTCTTTGTTTTTAAGTCTTAGAAGCGAATTTGTCAGTTTTGTGGTGTCTCGTGGTTTAACTATTTTAGATTTTCATGCAAATAATCTTCTAGCTTCTCTAAAATCTAAATGACGTTTTCCCCTTCCGAACCCGTTCTGTTGTTGCATGTTGTGTCTTTTGTCAGTGTTTTGAGTCTTGAGTCCTCTTGACAAGGTTTACAGTTTGGGATTGTACCATGAACTATGGCGGATTGCGAAAATTGTATAACCGATATAGTTTGGTTGCAATCACGACTACGAGTTATTATTGGCGATTGGAGTTGAGGTGTGCAATATTTTCATTTCTCATGGTTGAAAGTTGCAAATATGTGAGTTTGTATTAATTTCAAAGTCCTAGGAAACAAATACTAAAAGGAAACCAATACATGGTTCTGATTTCTGAGTATGTGGACTTTTACAATTTAAAGAGCTTGATAGACCTTCTAATCAAGTCATATCACTTAATTTGTAATTTTGATTTTACGATGTAAGTGGGTTTGATTTAATTTATTCTCTCAAATGCAGGGAAATGAGCTTTGCCTTCTTTAGGAAGAGAGCGCATTTTGACCGGTTCAACAAGTCAAATTCGCACTCTCAAAGTGTCCAACCCGTGGTCAACAGTCAAGGTCATTGTTTACGGTTTTTTTTTTCCTTTCAATTTTACAGAATTGATGGAATTCTCCTAAAAAAAATAATAGCTTAGATGCTATTGACGTTGATAAGCAAATATGCTTAGTGTCTTGGATCATGTTTTGCTATAATGATGTTTTGGTTTACATGCCTTATGGTATGTGACCCATTTAAACAAATCTCTATAGAGAGCTCCAAAAACACTGTTTGCAACATAAAGAGCTCCAAAAACATGGGAACATATATGTGGGGCTCACGGCTCACTCTCTCCATAAGAGAAAGAACCGCAACAAAACAAGGAGAACCTTCTAACAATGTCGTAACATTTCTTAATTTGTAATTTTGATTTTATGAAGCAAGTGGATTTGATTAAATCGATTCTCTCAAATGCAGGGGAATGACCTTTGCATTCTTTTTGAAGAGAGGACGCTTCTTGGCCGGTCCAATAATGTTGTCCAATATGTCAAATTCACATTCTCAAGTGTCCAACTGTGGTCAACAGTCAAGGTCATTGTTTACGGATTTTTTTCACTTTTACAGAATTGATGGAATTCTCCTAACAATAATAATAGCTTAAGATGCTATTGACGTGGATAAGTAAATACGCTCAGTGCCTTGGATGATGTTTTGGTTCACATGCTTTACGGTAGGTGACCCATCGAAACGAATCTCTCGTAACTGAAGATTTGGATTTTTTTTTACAGTGTTTGCAATATAAAGAGCTCCAAAAACATGGGAACATATATGTGGAGCTCAAGTCTCTACCTAAGAGAAAGACCCGCAACAAAACAAGGAGAACCTTGTTTTCCAGGTCGTTCTTACCTATGTTTTTAATTATTATTTTTAGTTTATATTGTCTTAAAATAAATGGTCAATATCTGTATATTGTATTGATATCGGGTTTAATCACAGTAAAATGACTAATTCTCTTCCACGTTTTCCCACACTAACTCATAGCTAAAATTAGTATACGACAGACTACATCGTCAATCCTTTTGTATCTCTCTTCCTTTCATTAGCTTTTCTGCCCATAAGACCATGGTTTCCAGACAGATCTTCTTTGTTTCCTTATCCCTTCACTTCTGCCCCAAGAGTTGATGTTTAGAATCAAATTCGTGAAAACGCCTTTCTATTATTTTGTGTTTAGTTTTTTTTTTTAATATTAGCTTTCTTGCAATTTTTCTAGAAAACAATAGGAAGCGAATCTTGTCGATTTTGTGGAGAGAATGCAGAAAGTTTGTTGGCCATACTTTGATCCTGAATTCGACACCCTTGGCGAACGCATCTACGGTCCCCCGTAAGAACTCTATTCGTATCTTCTTTGATTCATATGTACAAAAAAATACGTATATATATATATATGTATGTACGTACATACATAAATACACTGGGCTTTTCTTGTTCATCATGTTGTTGTATATATATTTTGCAGATGCAGGGTCTACATTGACAATGACAGTATCCAGGATTGCACGGTTGTCAAGGTACGCACGTTTCTATCTCGTGTGTTATTAGGCAAATATTGATTATACAACATGAATCTTCTTCTATTTCATTTCCCTCGTGCATCGAAACTTCCCTTTTTGTTGGTTCGTAGATAGATGCAAATGCATCGATTTTGTATATGGAAAACTTTGATGGACGTGATTGTATCGAACTACATTCGGATGCAAAACTTTGCCTCTCGGAGTAAAATATCGAGAAAAAAGAAATTCTTGCTTGTTCAATGTGTCACGATTGTTTTCTATAAAATAATTGTTCTGTCAATACAAGTTTTATATATTTGTTGTCAATATATAAATATGTATATATATATACACATGTGAATACTATGTGTGTGTATGTATGTATGCCAATTTGTTGATGCAATGTGATGGTTAACATTTTTGTAGGTGAATAGTGAGAACAAACAAGGGCTTCTTCTAGAAGTGGTGCAAATTCTGACAGACATGAACTTCATCATCAACAAAAGTTACATCTCATCCGATGGTGAATGGTTCATGGATGGTGCGTACATATCTGCAAATTTCATACCAAACCCATTCATTCATTTAACCATTAAACTTTGAAATGAAATTACGATCATATATATATGTATAACAAAATGCATTCATCAAATGATATACTTGTTCAGTTTTCCACGTGAAAGACGAACATGGCAATAAAGTCACTGACCAAAGCGTCATCAACCATATTGAACAGGTTAGTTCAATTACGGTTGAAGTTTGTGTAGTTAGGAGCTCTTTTTCCCGAATAAAAACTACTGCAACTCTTCGAACTTTCTCAAGTCTTAGATATGATAGTTAATATTTACCAACCCCGAGTCATAGGAGATTTACCAGATTTAAGGTCCATGAACTCCTTTCTTATTAAAAAAAAAAAAGTGTTTATATTCAGCATTTGGTTTAATACAAAATTTGATTTGGATGTACTACTAACTAGTAAAGGAATGATGTAACTTAAAATGCAGGCGATTGGTACGAGTACACGAAAATCGAGTCCTGTCATGGAGGCCAAAAAGACGGTCAGTGCAAACAATGCATTGGAATCACCGGTTGATCAAAACGAATACACAGCCATAGAGTTAACCGGAACGGACCGGCCGGGTCTCTTCTCAGAGATATCAGCCGCTTTAGCTGATTTGCATTGCAATGTCCTCGAGGCTCACGCTTGGAGCCACAAAGATCGTTTGGCTTGCATTGCCCACGTCTCGGACGACTCGACCCACACCTCGATCATCGACCCGACCCGCTTGGCCACCATAGAGGACCACCTGACCACTGTAATCCGTGCCACAGCCAATCCCACCTCGAATGCTACGCATGTTGGGCACAAGGAGAACGAGGATAACGGGTTTCTTGCGGGGAAAGGCTCTACGTGCATGAACACTAACGTGGAGAGACGGTTGCATCAACTCATGCTCTCAGTCAGGGACTTTGAAGAGCCGCTGCCTGGGGCGGCTGCTTCTCTTTCCGTGTCGCCGCCGCCTAGTAGGAGTGGAGGGTTGGAGATGGAAGGGTGTGATCAGAAGGAGAAGAAGCCGACAACGGTTTCAGTGGAGAATTGCGAGAGAGGGTATTCTATTGTGACAGTGAAGTGTAAGGATAGGCGAAGGCTCATGTTCGACACTGTCTGCACGTTGATCGACATGCAGTGTGTGATCTTCCACGCCTCTATCTATTCCAATGGAGCTGATGCTTTTCAGGTATTCCAAAATTTAAAATTTCATATAGTTTGCGTCCTAAAAATATTAGGTTTAGAATTCTATTCGGATTGAATATATGATAACTATCACCGAATCGAAGTCTTGAGATATGCATTGTCTGATTCTCACAAATCTTAACCCAATGTTCATAAGAGATGTTTTTTTTTGTTGATCTTCTTTTGATATGCAGGAATACTTCATTCGGCACCTAGATGGACGTGCTCTGAACACAGAAGGAGAGAAAGAACGAGTTGTGAATTGCTTGGAAGCTGCAATAGAACGACGGGTTTGTGAGGTATACTATAATATATCAATCACGTGCCATCCTTTTTATGCAAAATTTCTTTATTTACGTTATTAATTGATTTAAAAAATTTGTTTTAATAAATCGCCAGGGGGTGAAGCTGGAGTTATGCGCCGAGAGCAGGGTAGGGCTACTTTCGGACATAACTAGAGTCCTCCGAGAGAACGGTCTAACCATTGTCCGAGCAGATGTGGAGACGCAGGGACAGAAATCGGTGAACGCATTCTATGTCCGAGACATGTCAGGGAACAAAATAGACATGGAGTTTGTGGAATCGGTGAAGAAAGAGATGAGACCGCTGCATCTGGCGGTCAAGAACGATGATGCAGACGCCGAACGCGGACTGCAACGCCGCAGCTTCTCCCTCGGGGACATCTTCCGCTCTCAGATGGAACGCCTCTCTCTCAGGTGATTCAACACTGTCTTACAAATGATGTTTAGGTGGGACCAAGAGTGGTGGTAAGCATGATAGGATTCGTGTGTGTGTATATATGTATACGTTATTCCGTTGTATCTATATATCCATGGATAGGCATGTACGGGTCAAGTTTGTTTCAAGTAGAGGTGAGCATGGGCACCCGGAATGTCTCCAGTATCCGTCCGATCCACGAGTTTGGTATCTTAAATTTCCGATATTCATTCATAGATAGAACGATTATGGGCTTGACGACGGTGTGAATCCCTGATCTTTCGGTTGAAAATTATTCGTGTCCCACGGATATCCACCCGAGTCAGAGGGAGAGAAGGACGACATCGCAAAGACGTGAGAGGTCGATGGCGAGATTGCGAGGGGCGATGAAGGTGGTGAGTGAAGCTCGGTTTTTTCGGGTTAGGGTCGAGATTTTAAACTTTTAGGGAATGCCTCTTTCTCGCCTCATTTGGACTCCAACTCAACTCTATCCTGCCCTCGCCGGACTAAAATCGAGTAATTTGACCGTGAAATTCAGAGCGGCAAAACCCAAATCGGATCTATCGAACAACTCGGGTATCCGATCTGTACCCATTCCTGATTTCTCAGCAGTGGTCTGATCTCATTTATCTATATAGAAAATCCGCAACTTTTCACCTAAAATCTTCCGAACTACATATATCATTAAGGAAACAATCAAGATCCTAATGTTACACCATTATATTATGTCTATACATATATATATATATGTATGAACTCTACAGAATTGATCACTGTAAAATAGGGACCCGGACATTAAGCCTCCGCAGCCAGATGGAATGCATCACCATACGCAGCATATCAAAGGGCTTAGACGGTCGATTCAACACGAAATGTCTCTGAACCTGAAGAACCCTCCTCTGCATCCTCAGGTACTCCCCCTCCGGAATACCTTCTAGAATCTTCTTGATCTCCGGAATCTTCGGTATCGGTATATGGACGGAGAATTTCTTCCAGTCCAAGACATCGCTGAACGGAAGAACGTATGAATCTGCGATGATCACGGGAATGCAACCCGAGTACAAGGATTCCACGATCCTCGGACTTGCGACTTCGTATCCGCTCGGACATAGACAGAACTTCGTCTGATCCATCAGTTTCGTGTAGTTTTGTCCCTTTGGGAGATAGTCGTGAACCCTGACGTCTCTGTCTTTGTCTTTCCATCGCTGGAAAAGTATTTGCCTCACTTTTCCGTGGGGCCCTCCAGCAAAGAAAGCCAGGATTTTTCGATTCTCCGGCGGTTCTCCGGCGTGTGGAGAGCCCAATTGGCCACGTGGGATATTGATCTCCGGCAAGGACACGTCTCTCATGGAGACAAAGCCTTCTGAGGCATTGGCATTGCAGAGAACTCTGATGAAGAGCCTGTAGAACTCCGGATCCGCAGCCGTGACATCAGGTGCCTTGAAGAACAAGTAACCGAAAAAAAGTCAGCGAATTTCCCGTTGGCGAAACCGTTATACGGAATTCAACCCGTCTACGTTTTAGTACGTACCCAATCGTGGCAAGAAACGAGGAAATGATCGGCCCCGAGGCTGCGGTTCCAATAGGGATACCTCTGAGAGATGACAGAGATGTAGTCCTTGACGATGTTCTGTAAACGGTCTCTTGCGTAGTTGGTGTAAGGTCTGTAGACAAATCTTATGATGTTAACTATCCCGACAGGAATATAGAACACTGTGGCCTCGTCAGGATGCTTGGCCGCGAACGGGGATTTCCCCGTCTCGATCTCGTCCATGAACTGCCCCTCGATTGCGTATATGTCATTGACAGGCGCCTTATGGAAGAGTGGCCCATCTCCTTCTCTGTATGCCCATATCTTGAATTTCCTCTCCATCTCTCTATGGCTCCTGGGATTTTATGTGTATATACATACAAGTCTAACATGTAAGTGAAATGTGTATATACATATATATGTCCAATTAGTAAAGAACTGTACTGTTCAGTTACTAGCTAGCTGGTGTGTATATACATATACATATATACATGTAAAAGAATAGTTCACCAACATTATACATAATATATCACCACCATTGTTGCCCTAAAAGTTGAAATGGTGATTGTCCCAAGGTCAAAGGTATGGAGGAATCTAAAAAGAAAGAAAAAAGGCAAAGGAGCTTAGAAGTATAAGAGGTTGGCAAAAGGGTCGTTATATTCATGATTTATTTATTTATTTTTTTAAAAAAAAACTGAAATTGGAGGGTCTAAATAGAAAAAAAGAGAGGCTGTTAGTAGTTTTTAGGGCACTAAAAATGGTAAAACCTTACATGAGCACTTTAAGATGATGATGACCCATTCCTGTGGCTGCAACCTCTATTTGTGACTCCTACTTTATATTAACTGCCTAAGATATTAATTAATTATTACTGTTAAATCTAATATTAATTAATATGGTAGACGCTTAAATAGGTCAAAGACTACCCACTTTGATATAACTAAACACATCAAAAACCCTAAGTTGTCAATTAAAACCATCCCAACTCAATTCCGAAATAACATTTAACTTCTTAATAATAGAGCTTAATTTGAGATTACTGAGCTTAATTCCGCCTGTTTCAGATAACTTGACAAATATTATCTCTCGTTTAATTAGAGATTTTGAAAGATTTTGTTAAAGAAAAAAAAAAGGGAGAGCAAAAATAGAAAGGAGGAAAAGGTCTTAACTGGTGAAAAGTAAAAGGGTTGAGATAGACAGATCCAATGAGGCTCTCCGAACCGTACGACGAGTTGCGAGAGAATGCCGCTTTGGTAAGGATGGCCGCTCTTGCCATCGCCAGCCCTCCTTCCACTCTCTCCAACGCCTCCCATCTCACCTTCTCCGACTGTTTCATCCATTAGGGTTTTGATCAACCAGAACAAAACGAAGCAAGCAAAACCCTAATCAATTAATTAAGCACATTTGGACTGAAGATCACATAATCTACATATCAACACATGTTAGATGCTTGGTGCATACAATATATGTATATGTACATATATTACCCGAGGAACCCCAAAAGAAAGGTTGGTATTTGTTGATGAAAAACAGTTCACCATAACTTGGATCAGCCGAAATTAATAAGCAATAATTAACACCCGCAAAGAGGAGAAGAAAAACTCGGATCTTCTCAAGGGAACCCATCAAAGACAAACAAACAGGATCGAATATCGGTGGAGATCTAAGAAAACCCATTGCTAAAAAAAGACAAAATAACATATTAAATCACACGTACGTACGTACATTGTTGGAGCTGGGAAGATCATCATCTCCGCGGCGACGACGGCAAGAGGAGTTCGTACGGAAAGGGAATCTGAAGGAAGAGTAGATCAATGCTTCGGGGCTTCGGAGAGCTCCGAGGTTGTCGGAATCATCAGAACAGAGAGAAGGGTCACCGATGTTGTCAGAGGAAGGCAAGAAACGGTAATGGTGGTTGACGGAGTAGAAGAATAATACCAGGACGAGCGATGGATACAGAAGCAACGGCGTCGTGCATGTGAAATCCGCCATGGATGTATCGATGGATCGATGTTTTTTGGGGGGTCCCTTGCTTTTCTGTGTTTTTTTTTTGTTGTTCTTTGGTTTGCTGGGATCTAGGGTTTCGAAAACACGTTTGATCTCTCCATCTTTTGCAGGATCGAATCTCACGAGAAGATTTCGATTCGATGTTGTTTCCGATTAGGTTGTTGTTTGTTTGTTCACTAGTAGAGGTTTATTAGTCATGCATCACTACTACTTTCGCTCCTTTTTGTTTTAGTACGTAAATATAATATACATGTGTGTACGTATATATATGTATAGTTTTATACTGTATATTAACTTTATCTTCTTGTGGATAACTATATATGTATATACAATGCTATAAATAGAATACATAAAATAAAAGAAATCCTAAATATGACGATTAACCAGGGAAAAAAACTTTGGTATTTTTTCTGAAAACTGAAAATATATAATTTTTCTGAAATACTAGTATCAATGACGTCATATATATATAACAAATAATAATATCGATAGTTAAAAGGGTTTAGTTTCCTTTATAATTTTAATTTTATTATAAATATAATTTTTGAGTAGATAAATTTGAAGCAAATAAAATATAAAATTTATATAAATTGATGATTATTAAGCGATATTATTAATTGTTATATATATATATATATGACGATTAACTAGGAAAAAAAAACTTTGGTATTTTTTCTGAAAATTGAAAATATATAATTTTTCTGAAATACTAGTAAAAATGTCATATATACATATAACAAATAATAATATCGATAGTTAAAAGATTTAAGTACATAATTCAGGGTTTTTTTATAATTTTAATTTTATTATAAATATAATTTTTGAATAGATTAATCTGAAGAAAATAAAATATAAAATTTATATAAATTGATGGTTATTAAGCGATGATAAATCATTGATTGTGATGCGTGTAGGGTTGTAGCCATGTAAGAGTATAATAATGTATTTATTTTCTTTACACCCGCATGTACATTCACTTCCGATAATCTTTTTTTTTTTTTCTATTCGATGGAGCGAACAATTCACGCCGCACATAATTGAAAATCAATTAAAAATATAAGAAGAACGCCAAAAAAAATAAAATATCTAAATTTTTATTGAGAGGTTGTTGTGTCTCATAATATTTTTTAAAACTGAATTTACTTTTTTTTTTTTTTTTGTATTAACGCAAAATAGTTATAGTAGTTAATAAAAAAATACCCTAAAACACAGCCCCAACAAACCCTAGAACATAGTCCGAACTTCTACGAAAAAGTATACGATGTTGACAGCGACAAGTGTATTTGATGGAAGATATATATATATATATATATAATTTAGGGATAATCGCATAAAAATACCCGAACTTTTACAAAAATCCTAAATAAATACCTGAACTATAAAATTGTCATATAAATACTTGAACTTTTCATAACTCTCACATAAATACCTAGACTTTTAAATTTTTTTCAAATCAAACATTCATCCATTAACGTCGTTAAATGCAACTGCTGATTCAACAAAAAAACTGATGACTCAGCAAAACACTGCTGACTCAGCAAAAAAAAAAATTATTAAATATCCAAATTTTTATCTATATATATTTAAATTAATATATACATATAAATTCATATATATATATACAAATATATATATATATATATATATTAAAAATAAAATTATTTATAATTAATAAAACACATATATACATAACTACAATATATATATATATCATCACTGATACATATATATTAAAATAAAATAATTATAATTAAATTTATATACATACATAATATACATATTAAAATAAAAATAATTATAA